ATAGATAGATAGATAGATAGATAGATGGAGAGAGGGAGAAAAACCCCATCAGTACCTTCAGTTTCTTTATATATATATATATATATATATATATATATATATATAAATATATATATATACAGAGAGATAAGAAGATGTATATACAGAAGATGTAGATAGATAGATAGATAGATAGATAGATAGATAGATAGATAGATAGATAGATAGATAGATAGATAGATAGATACCATCAGTACCTTCAGTTTCTTTATATATATATATATATCATATACATATATAGTGTGTGTGTAGATAGACACAGATCTTATACATATAGAATGTGTTGTTGTGTGTGTGTATATATACAGAGAGAGATAAGAAGAAGAGAGATAGATAGATAGATAGAAGATAGATAGATAGATTTTTATAGATACAGGTAGATAGACTGATGGATGGCTAGATAGAATCCCAAAATATGTTCCTTCACTATATATATATATATATATATATATATATATATAAAACTAGATTTATCATATACACATATAATGTGTGTGTGTGTAGATTGGATAGAGAGATAGAATCCTATAAAGATTCCTTCAGTATATATATATATATAGATAGACAGATAGATAGATAGATAGATAGATAGATAGATAGATAGATAGATAGATAGATAGATTTAACATAGATATCATTTATGATTTAACATACAATCATTTATGTAAACACAATCAGTACCTTCATTTTCTTGTAGGAGTGCCTGGACATGCAGCAATCAAGATTAGTAACATAAAATCTGGTGTCAAGTTCATACTTGGGGGCAGCGCTGTGAAACCTGCAACGCTGCACGACTCCATGTAACTCCTTCCCAGGCCCTTTGAGTTTCTACTGTTCATTACTCAGCAATGAAAGCAATTGTTTAAAAAAATTAAGAGTGATTTGTGGAGGATCTACCCCCCCCCCCCCCCCCCACACACACACACACACACACACTACCAAGCAGTGCCCTCAGTAGATTTCTCAATAGAATTACTAAATGTATCCAAAAGAAGAAAAAAGATGATGAGACATACTCTACATAGAAAAGGATTGAATAAATAAAAACAATAAAGATCATGAGGGGAGATTTACTAAAACTGGAGCACTCAGAATCTGGTGTAGCTGTGTAGCCAATCAGTTCCTAGCTTCAGCTTGTTCAATTAAGCTTTGACAATAAAACCTGGAAGCTGATTGGTTACTCTGCAGAGCTGCACCAGTTTTAGCAAATCTCCCCTCATGATCTTTATTGTTTATTTATTTATTCAATCCTTTTCTATGTAGTATGTCTCATCATCTCTTTTTTTTTTTCTTTTGGATACATTTAATATAACATTTTGTCCCTTTAATAAACTGTACCTGCATTATCATAGTTTATCTTTTCTCCATACATCATGGTGATATTTCTCTATTGCTGGGGAAAAGTGTAAGCATGTAGATGTGTAGATATATAACAATTATTTTTTTTTTTTTATTATTATTTATTATTATTATACAGGATTTATATGGCGCCAACAGTTTGCTCAGCGCTTTACAATATAACGGGAGACAATACAGTTCAATACAAGAGGGATAGGAGGGCCCTGATCCTGGGAGTTTACAATCTAAGAGGATTAAATCACATTCTTAGAAATAAATACATTTTTTCTCTCTATTATATATCTTAAGATATATATTCTACTCTTTAAAAAATTATATATATATCTATATATAAATATACCAATTTTAATCACCTTATTGCAGTCTGCTTTTCACAGTCTCATCCTACCTGCTTCAGAATAATCTGTTAAAAAAAGAAATGTGGGGGAAGGGGGAAGGGGGGGGGGGATTAAGATATCTAAATATGCCCTATATAGCAGATCCTAAAAGGAGGTCCCTGGGTGAGGAAGGGTTAATTGCAGGGAGGTGACGTCACCTTTGAGGTCCAGCAGAGCTGTAGATAGGGAGAGGATGAGGAGGCTGCAGAGGATGTGAGGCTGGGCTGTGTGGTGAAGCACACAGGGGGCTGGAAAAGCACTTCTCACCTTCCAGCCTGTCTGTGGCTAATAGAGACGAGATGCTGCAAGTGTCTTCTTAACCCACACTGAGCACAAGGACTGCCGGCACCCCTCTCACCGCAAGATGTGCACAGGAGCCCTATAGACACAGCTTCCCTCCACTTCTTCTAGGTATTCCTTCCACATCTTACCTCTCCTTCCTCCCAACTGTCATTTATTTACTTGTTGTGTGCTAGGCTATCGTTTTATTTTTATTGCAAACTGCAATTTCATCATTGCAGACGGTCCTTTCGTGGTGCAAGTGCTTCCTTTTCCTTTATAAATGCATTGTCGGGTTGCAAAAGAGTTCATTTGATAGTATTTTAGGTTTTTTTTAAATTTACATGTATTATTGTATACTGTTATTTTATTTCGTTTTGTTTTTCCTAATAACTTGTACTATTTATTTATAGTTCTATTTTATTTTTTATGATATCTTTGTAATTTTTTTGGTTTTACTTTTATTAGCTATATTATTATTATTACTAAAATATCTGTTACTTTTTTATATTACTTATTACTATTTTTATATGACATTACTATTACGATCTATTTCTAACCCCTATTCTATTGATCTATGAACCCCTGTAAGTCACTTTTGCTGAATCCGTTCCTCAGAACCCACATGTCAAATTATTATTTTTTTTTCTCCATACAGGAGAGGCAAAGAATATTACATATAACCCTGCAGGGCTGCCGCATAGTACATAGTTATTGCCCATTTGCGTCTATAAATGCACTTCGATCATTAAAAGGCAGGCGACATGTAGATATGGCATCTTTTGGATAATGTAGATGCAGTAACTGATGGAAGGGGTGGGCAGGAGAAAAAAACAAAACACAAACCCCAAATTCTTATGTTCTACTTTTTTCTTTTTCTTTTTTATATAAAATTATATATTTTTTTTTCATATAAAAAATAATTGAAATAAATGCAGTTATAACTTAAAAAACAAAACAAATAGTCCATAACATAACATATATATATATATATATATATATATATATATAATAACTTTTAAAAAGCCAGACGTCCACAGCTATATCTATCTATCTATCTATCTATCTATCTATCTATCTAATTATGCATAATGTACATTCCGCTCTGAATATTGGCAAAAAATATTAATATTTTATATATACATTTAGTTATAACTTAACAAAGCACAAAGTCCATATATATATATATATATATATATATATATATATATATATATATAAAAAAAAGCCAAAAGTTCACAGCTCTATCTATCTATCTATCTATCTATCTATCTAATATTATGCATAATGTACATTCCTCTTTAAATATTGGCAAAAAAAATAGAAAATAGATAGATATAGCTTTGAGCTTTTTTAAAGTTATATATATATATATATATATATATATATATATATATATATATATATGGACTTTGTTCTTTTTTTAAGTTGTAACTAAATGTATATATAAAATATTAATATTTTTTGCCAATATTCAGAGAGGAATGTACATTATGCATAATATTAGATATATATAATAGATAGATAGATAGATAGATAGATAGATAGATAGATAGATAGATAGATAGATAGATAGATATGGATGGGTAGATTAGTAATTTTTTTTCTTTTAATGGTGAAAGTATTGTTTGTGTTAAGTGACCCAACAGACAACATTTAAATACACATTTTAAACATCTACTTTATGTTTATTTTTTTTTTTCTTTAATAAATGTATTTATGAATAAATTAACGTCTGTAAAAATTAGCTATGGATAAATTAATTCATCATTAATCAAGGGACTGTACAGTAGTAAAATAGATAGCTACAGCCTAGTTCTCCAACATATTAAAAGGTCATTGTTTAGTTGACATGTGAAAGGAGTGTTGGGGAGATGGATTGTGGCATTTGTGTGATCTCATCATCTAAGATCTGTCTCATTCATGGCTGCCTCATCTTGTGTTTAATGAGAACAGTTCTGGGTTACATGCAGTCTTGCAGAGTAAAGAGGTTAATTGTGTTTTAATTAATAGTTACATTATGGACAAGCTTGCTTTGTAAACAGAACACCCTGTAGCAAAGCATACATCACCTATTGTTTGCACATGCAGATGCCTTCCCAGTCACATCTACACACAATTTGTTACTTAGTAGGCAGCAATTGCACAATTAAGAAACACTTAAAATGGGCAATTTTTCTAATGACTGCGCTGTATCACGGCTGAGCTAGGTACATTGTTAAGGATTCAAATTGATAAGATTTAGCTGAATACATTTGTAAATCTTAATAAAAAATATTGCAGCGTTGATTTGGGTGTATAGCCCAATTTACTTCAGCTAACAACATATATTCTATTTAAATTTTAAATTAACATAAATACAATATTTAGTAATTTTTATATCTTATATTATTAAGACCATCCTTATTATTACCTGTCCTCAAGTCCCACCAACAGATTACAAAGGAAGCCCGTGCAGCATCATACTGAGAACCTAAGCCCTCCACCTTTACATATGTGAAGTTGCTTGTAGCACATGCACTGATGGGCCTTTTTTGGATCATTTTGGGATGTACTGGCATAAGGTTGCTTAGACGTTTTACTTTTTTTGTAAATACATTTTGCAAACTCAACTCATGAAACTTGCAGACCTAAAAGTATGGAGAACCACAGCCCTCTGAATTGGCTCCTTGTTATTTTACCTCTTTATTCTCACAATTGAGTTGTAATTAAAAGAGTGAATTAAAGTGATTTACTTGTATTTCCATTTAAACCTTATTCATAATATATGTATTTTTTTTTTTTCTTTTATTTTAGGCAACTACCACACCAAAGACATTCCTTCTACTGACGTCTACAGAGATGGCTACCAGCCCACTAACAGTTGCTAACGACATTCTCCTGGCTACCCCACCAACTAGCTATCAACAAGACACCATTGGTCAGTCCAGGGTCGGTCACCCCAACATGAAGCCTAACCAAGTCAGCCAGGTCATTCTGTATGGCATCCCGATTGTATCTCTGGTCATTGACGGCCAGGAGAGGTTGTGTCTCGCCCAAATTTCCAACACCCTCTTAAAGAACTATAGCTACAATGAGATCCATAACAGACGGGTAGCACTGGGTATCACATGTGTGCAGTGCACCCCAGTGCAACTGGAAATATTGAGGAGGGCAGGAGCAATGCCTATCTCTTCAAGAAGATGTGGTATGATCACCAAGAGGGAGGCTGAGAGACTTTGTAAATCCTTCCTAGGAGAAAACAGGCCTCCGAAACTGCCAGATAACTTTGCATTCGATGTGACTCATGAATGTGCTTGGGGATGCAGAGGGAGCTTCATCCCAGCAAGGTACAACAGCTCACGGGCGAAGTGTATCAAATGCACCTACTGCAACATGTACTTCTCTCCCAATAAGTTTATCTTCCACTCACATCGAACTCCAGAGGCTAAATACACCCAGCCAGATGCTGCCAACTTTAACTCTTGGAGAAGACACTTAAAACTGACAGAGAAGACTCCGCAAGATGAAATTATGTTTGCCTGGGAGGATGTGAAAGCCATGTTTAATGGGGGAAGCAGGAAAAGAGCTCTAAGTCATGGGCAGTGCCATTCATTGAACTCTGTAAAGGCACCTAATGGAGTCCTGTCACATATGATTGGGCAAGAACTTAACCAGAAGAGGCCACGGTTTGAAGAGGAGGAAGAGATCGAGTCCACCAACATCACAAACAAGGCTCCAAGAAGTTACCCTGTCATTCCTGTGCCCAGCAAAGGGTTTGGCATGTTGCAAAAGTTTCAAGCTAGTACTCTTTTTCCAAGTCCCTACACCTTTCCTGCCTTTGGCTTGTGTCAGAAGAAAGATGACAGTGACACTGTTAATGGTCAGAAGACCAGTGCCCTATCTGGTCTTTTCTGGCCTGGGAGAAAAGATGCATTCTATCCCCCTTTTTGTATGTTTTGGCCACCTAGAACCCCTGGTGGCCTTCCAGTTCCTACTTATCTCCAGCCTCAGCCTAGCGCCCTTACATCTATCACAGATAACCCTACTTTGAGACAAGCCTTCCTTGAGCTAGCTGACCAAAGTGATGGCAGCAGTCTCAGCACAACTGGGGACAGTCTTTTTGAAACAGAGTGTTCCAGCTCTCCAGTATCCAGTGACATTAGGCCTTCCTCTGAAACCAGGACCAATGTATTGGACGTTCCCCCTTTCCCCATCCGGAAACAAAGTTACCACTCAGCCTTCAGGCCAGTGGTCAAAGACACAGATAGCATTGCCAAACTGCATGGCAACCTTGAGGACTTCCCTGGCGATCGGCACATCTCGCCTGGGACCAGCTGCAGTTACCAAAGCGACAGCTCAGACTCGGACGAAGAGCAGGAAGTGGATGTGGAAACCAACAAGCAGCCCGGTGAGGAGGAAGAGGAGAGCCTAAGTAGCCAGTTCCTCCAAAGCA